GCAGAGGGACAGACGGCTGCCGCGCGCTCCCGGGGGTCCACGGGCCTTGTGCCCATCGACGCTGCCCCTTCAACGGGGCAGAGCTCACCTCCAGCTCGTAGGCGTCCTTGCCCTGCGTGAGAGGCGATCCAGCAGCCTCTCCCCCACCCTCCCCGGTCAGCAGGGTCCGCAATCGCGTGATCTCCGCAGCCAGGCGGTTATTCAGCTCCTGGGAAGAGGGAGAGAGCTGTTGGCAAAAAGGGGAGCGCGGCCACGGCGCGGCGCAGAGCCCACCGCGCTCGCCCGTCGGGTGATTTGCCCCTCGCCCCCTGCCCCGGGCATGGTGGGGACTCTCACCTGGTTGTGGGCGTTGAGCTCCTGGTTCTCCCGCTGGCACTGGCGGAGGGCCTGCCTCTCAGCCTCCAGCGCCTGCGCCAGGTGGGCGTTCTCCAAACACTTCTGCGAATACTGCTCCGAAAGCACCTCCAGCTCCCGCTGCACCGACTGCAGCTCCTCCCTGGCAAAACACACGCCGGATAGTGCCCTCCCTGCACATTCCCACCCGTGCCCGCACTTCCTCCAGCGCCCCGGGACAACCCAACAGGGATCTAAGCCCTGAGAAGGAGGACTGGCATACTCCGTTTGGGAAAACCCTCAAGCCCAGAGCGAGCCAGCCCTTCCTTCTCCTGGCACAGCGGTGCTTGGGCACCAAAGGGGACGGGAGGTCTTTCTCAAGGAGGTTAAATGGCAGGACTTCCTCAGGTTTCCAAAAACTGAGCTGAGATCTATCAAGTTTGCTCAGGGCACTCGGGACGAGGTGTATTTGCACACCTACATATCTTACATAGACACACGAGGGTTAACAAAGCTGCTTGGCCTTGCCATGAAAAGCTCAGTGCTTTCTCCTCGCTGGGTTAGATCTGTTTGAGCAACCCTCTCGCTACAACGGCGTGAAAAGCAGCACCATGTCTGCACATCTGCTACTTCTGGTGACCATAAAGCAGCTGAACTTGGGTAGTTTGGGGACACGGACCTGGAGCCCGAAAGACTACAGGCAACCAGGAGCCTCTGATGGGTGCAGTTGGGTTGGGAGCAAGGGAAGAGGTCCCTGCCACGACAGGTCTGCCGCCCATCGCCGAAATCAAAGCGGACAAAAGGGTCTCCCATACGTGTGATCTCCCTGCGAGACAGCGACAGAGCACGACGACGGTCTTACAGGTATTGCCTCCGGAGGGCCTCGATGTCGGCGTTGACGCTGCTGATCTGGGAGCGCTGGGACTTCTCCAGCTCTCGCTCCAGCTCCTCCCGGTGTGCGTTCTTCATGGCTTCGATGGCTGCGTGGGACAGCACAGCGTTAGCACCCAGCACTGCTCCACCCAAAGGCATTTCTTTTGAGTTTTTGTTTGTTTTTTAAAGGAACAAAACATGAGCCATCCCAGCAAACCTCCCACTGCTTCGCAGCCCCTTCAGCCTGTGCCTCTGGCTGCAAAGCAGCAAAGGGGCTTCTGTAAATCCCACTTTTTAATAAAATCCAAACAATTGTCCAATTCACATGTTGCTTCCCAGATTGTGGGACTCTCAATGCAGAGACGATGGGCTCCAGCACTTCAAAACTACCTGGGGCACAGAAGAACCAACTCAGTGTGGAATCAGCAATAAATTAACCACAGGAATGACTAACACCTTTCTGAGATGGAACAGAAAACGGATCAGACCCCATTACAGCCAAGGAGAGGGGTACCAAGCCTGGAAAAGGACCAGGAGATCAACCTCCATCCAAAACATATGTCCCACCAGCCTCTCCTCATCTCCCTGTGATCCTCACTCAGACCTTGTCCCACCCCATGCTCTGCTCCGCCACACCGGAGCAAACACCGTCCCCATGTACCCATCAACACGGAGCTGTCCCACCGCAGGGGACCCTCTGTCATGTCCTTGTACCTGAAATGGTGGCAGCCGTTTCTTCTGCCAGCAGGCGGTCTT